TTGCGACGGTAGAATTTTTATTTGTTCTTTTTTGTACGGAAAAATTACCATTTATATTGCAATCAATTAGAATCTTGAACCATACTGTGTACATAAAAATTTTGTTAACATAAGTTAATTTCTTTAACTTACACAATATAAGTTAAAGCAATAATTTTATACTTACATAATGTAAGTTAAGCAACAAATCGAGCAATAATTTTTTAAACCTTGATCAATCGATACCGAGTCAATGATCCCGTACCAAACAGTTCAAATATAAATCTTGAAAAAAAAATCTCATTAGAAAATAATATTCAAAGTTATTTCATTTCTAAATAGAATTGACAGGACATCAATTACAGGTCGTAAAAATTGTTATAATTAACCCAGTTCAAAAATGAAATATTTTAATGCAGGTCACTGTATTTCGCGTTAAAAAATCGAGGATCTTTGCGTGTTAAGCTGAGAGATGTTCCAAACGATTCCACGTAGAAAAACGAGATTTGTATCTCCTAGAAAATACACAATACATATTTACGGCTCGATGCCCTATTAGACATACTTATCGATCGCGATACTATTTTCTCGACAATGTCGGCCAAAAAAATACGAACGAACGATCTAACATTACAATTGTACTCTACGTACATTTGATACAAGCATCAGTGTGTCCACTGTCGTAACAACGTTTACTTTCGAGCTAACAAAGTGCAACGGGTCGTCGAGTTCGAAATTTCGATTTTTATATAAAGAGGTGCAGATATAAACTGCATCTTACAGGATCGACGATCCTTTATGTTTCAAGATACAAATTTAAACCTACGGGATAGATATCGAAGAAAGTTGACTCAGGTCGGATTGTGCGACGCAAATACGTTCCTAGAAAGCTTCGATAATACTCTGAAAAATTGGCCACTTCTCTATACAACTTTTTAGAATACCAATCGTTTGACTAATTTATCTGTTATCAGTTTTCGGTGAAAGACCTTTATGTTCAGAGCATGCTTTTTTTTAAAAATCATGAAAGTATCCATTTTCCATTAATGACATTTTGACTGATGCAAAAAATGATTTTGTGTACATTTGTGAAAATTTGGAACATTTATAAAATTAATTTTAAATCTTTTAATAATAAATTAATTTATAGCAAGATCAAATGGAGATTGTTTCCCAAGAGGTTTATAGTTAAAGTATAATCTGAAACAATGCTATAGATAATAATAGATAATAAATAGATAATAGCATATGATAGATAATACTACTTTAAATTTCGTATTTGCAGAAATTGATAAAAAAAAGAATTTTTGAATTATGTAGATATGTCACTTGAAGTAATAGTACTGTTGCAATTTGTTCGATTTTTTAAATTTTCACACAGCATGCTCTGAACATACTTCAGTATCAAAGAGTCCCATGATACAAACCTGTATTTTTGATCTGACTGTCCCCTGAGAAAAAGAGCAATGTTTCTTGAGGACGGCTGCCTTTAGAATAATAAGAGAAATAGTGTGTTAGCAAAATCGATAATTCGGCGTAAAAGACAAGAATTGACGAGATAGAAATTGGTCGAGCATCGATGGATAAAACGATTTATGGAATTATAGTTCGCTAACTCTTTACTTTATCTACCATATTAACTATTTTTGAGTACCCTCAATCTCTACTTGTGATGCGTATATAATTTCAACTTCCTCCGGAAAATCCTTCCTTTAATAATTTTTACAAAAAATTCTTTCCTCGTGCGAGAGATACTTTATTTTATTGTTCATCAGTGTGTTTCCTCCACAAGTTAATTCATGCAAGAAATTTATACGAATCGAATATTAGGTTGACAATTTTGCGAGCTAGTTTCTTAAATAATTATTTTTTAAAATTCAAGCCATCTGAACACAAATCTAATATTACAAGAAAAAGATCTTATTTATCTCTTCTAATCCTTCATTAATTTTTCTAATTCTATATTTCTAATTGTTCTGTTTGTAATTTTTATTATATTCATTTTACCATTTTAATTTTTGTATTGAAAAAATTTGTAAAACCGTGTCGAACATTTTTAGTTAATTCCGAAAATATTTGACAAAGAAAAATGGTCTTTAAATTTATTCGTCACGCCATTTATCATTTTAAATGTAGGCTCAGTACGTTCTTATATGTGTATTTAGTGTTCGAAGTGTGGGCGACGATTTAGATCCACCGATGATAAGTATAATATTTCTTTATATGATAGGTACTTCAAACTACGTGAAAAGCTAACGAATTGTCAACCTAAATCATGAAAAAGTAATTTTTCTTTCAAAATTATTTCAATTATGCGAACCTCTTAGATCGATCATATTCGAAAAATTATCCTTATTTCCTGTCAATCATTAGATTCTCGTTCATCCATCGTTTCGACAATTAATTAATTTCTGTTATCAGAAAAATTTACATGCAAGTGTTCGACAGAGTTCGAAGTTGCATTATTTTTTGTTAAATTATTTCTAAAAGATGAAGAAACTACGGTTTTTATGAAACACTGGTCGCCAATGGATCATCCACGGCTAAACCTGAAATGGAAATGAGAGTGGCACAGATAATCTTTTCTAGTTAATATTATTACAATAAAAGCTTCTGTATGTAGCCGACGTTATTATGCGTTTCATGAGAAGAATGGTGGATGCAGATCGAGGGAAATCGAAAGCTTTTATATCCAGATTCGTAATCGGCCTATTTTCATTTCGGGGTGAATGTGCTGCTCGAACACAGATATATTAATAAGAAGATTGTCACGATTCTTGAAAAAAAAAATACTTTGTTTCTTTTATTTTATGTAATTGATTAGTTTCTTTTAATTATGTGATTGATTGTGTGCACTGGTGAGTAACGTAAGCTTCCGTAGATAAAATGGCGACGAAGGGGAAAGTGTTCCAAACATTCGTCGATTTTTAGTTAACTAATTTTAAATATAAATTTATGTGCATAGATATAATTTAAAATATAGAAATTTAGGTATTTAAGTTTTGAATTTAGAATTTCATAATTTTAGACATTTGAAAATTTAGTAATTTTAAAGTGTAATTAATAGTAATTTTGAGAACTGTAAAATTCTGAAAAATTTGGAAACTTTAGAAATTTGAAGATTTGAACATTTGTAGAGTTGTAAATTAAATAATTAGAAATTGTTTAATTGATTATAAATACCAATTTATAAATTTAGGATTTTAGAAATTTGAAAATTTGGATATTTGGGAAACGTAGTAACTTCAATATTTAGAACCCTAGGAATTTGAGAATATGAGAAGTCGAGAATATTTGGATATTTTACAATTTGAGAGTTCAGAAATTTTACAACTTGAAAATGCAAAAATTTGAGAAATTGAAAATTAAAAAATTTTCAGTATCATATATTTGATCTTTCAAAATCAAAGATACATTGTAAAGTGCTCCTACCGTTTAGTTTCTGAAGAAAGCTTACGTTACATAACAGTGTACACTTAACTCGCATTAGTTAAAAAAATTTCAATTTGCCAATTGAATGTTAATTGACGCTAATACTCATTACACATTAATGATTACACATTAATCCCAAATAATGTTAATAATAATAATGTAATATCTTCATTTTGTTCCCCACGTAACTTTTATTTTTATAATGAATTAATTGATGAGTTAAAAGTATGTTATGCAATGTAATTTTGTAAATCGCGACAGTATTCTTTATAATACATGCACAGTGTCTAACAATTATTGTTCAACACTTTCCCCTTGAAGCAACATTAAATCGATAGAAGTTTTCTAATCCTTTCTTTAATTTGAGACGATTCATATTGTACAAACAATTGACAACAACAATTATTTCAGCTACTCCTTTGGCTACGTCGATGCTTGGTTATAAATACATATTTCATTTTAACAGACTTTACTCATTGAGTACGTCATAAAGCGCAAAAACAAATGAACGTGTCCTCTTGGAAAAAATGTATTTTCCTGGTAATTTATTATGTCAACTTTCCGTTAAAGTAAAAACTTTTCACAAAGGAAAGGACTTATACAAATGAATTCCTGTAATGAATTAAAACCTGAACAAAATAGAATATTAACTATTAATGAATTATTAATATTTAATAGTGAAGTTAATGAACTTTTTGATAATTCATAAATATAAAATGAATTGAATTAAAAACCTTAATTAACTATTAATAATTAATTGTATTAATTCAGTTTAACACTTAATAGTCCATTAAGCATTGAAATAAATTATCTAATTTTTTTTTAAATATGAACAAAATTTTGAATGAGAGTATTAATCGTTTGACTGCCAATAGCACAATTTTCATATCTTACATGAAAGAAGCAATTAATTTTATCATGCTATGCAACCGCAGTGTTGCATTGCGAGTTGTTATCTTAAAATGTGACATGCTTTTCTTTGTAGTATGTTTTACACTGCGTATGTTATCAGTATGCTGCAGCTCCTGCATAATTTTAATAATATCTGCTATTTTAATATAATTTCTGAGTCTTAAATCGAACTTCTATCGCAAAATGACAGATTATTTGTTATTACGCAGTTGTGCCATCAAAGATCAAATAATTTTTGAGTTCAAAGATTTTTTACTGCAACTTTATAATAGAATACAAAGATTTTCTTTAAGTTAAAATAAATTTTGATTATACGGTAAACTTTGTTTCATTTATTACCATCCATGATTTTTTTTACAATGTCTTCTGCTTCAACACTCAAACGATTAATAAATTTTTATTAACACCAGAACTGCAGGTTTACACCTGTTTTTAAATTGAAGATATAATCGAAGAGAATGAAACATAAATTCAATCATGCTTCATCTCTACATAGAAATTATAGTATAGAAGTTAGAAATTTAAATATAGAAATTAGACTATAAAAGCATATTAGCAAAATTCTGTAACATGAAAAAGGAATATAAAAAAACAGTTATTTTTTCTGGTTAGCAGTTCTAGTGTTAATTAATAAATAATAAACATCTTTATACAACAAAAATATTTCCAAACTTCACGTCTTTTGGTATATCAATTTTATTTAAACTTCGGGGAATTATAAAGAACACCATAAGTAATAATTTTGCAAAATTATAGTCCGCAATTTATTAAAATAAAATTCTCTTTATTCTTTTACTTTTAGAATAAATTTCCTTTCTGTTAACAGAAAAATCAAATGAATTTTATTCATTCAATCTTCCCCGACAGAATTTTAAAACACTTATTTCTTAATTAATAAAATGAAAAAAAAAAATTCCGCGAGCTCTCGCAAACCTTAATTCATTAAACCAGTTTTCATATTATTCTAAGTAGATTTTATATTATTCAAAGATATTTAAATAAAAATTGCAAGAATTTCAAACAAAAACTTCTACATTTTAAAGAATTGCGTTTTATGTTTCTGCAAAATTATTACTTTTGTCGTTCTGTACAATCATGTAAGATTTCAATGAAATCAGTGTATCAAAGATCGTAAAGTCCCCTAGTTCGATCCAAAGTACATAACTTTTTTCCAACGAGGATTCGTATCGAGTTTTACAAGCATCTTTTAAACGTTTCGTTGTCGGCATACGATGCGCTGTGACCGATTTTCCGCATTAAAATCCGCTAAGAAATCGGTATACGCTGCCTGTAGCGGTCAAATTTTCGTGCATCGAACGAATGTGTAACACAATTTATTCTCGCATGATCGTCGACTCGTCGCACCAACAACAATAACGAGCTAACAAAAGCGACGTTCAATCGTCGCCGGTAACTTTACGTGTATTTTATCATCGTATTTCTCCTTTTTATTTATTTCTTCTAACCCCTTCAACGCGATTTCCCGTTCGACTAATCTCGTGCCGAGGGTCCGTCAAAACTACGGTACGTGATTGAATGAAAAAGAGAACTTGGACGTATCTTCGAAACAATGGGGATAAAACTATAGCATCGACTCCACTTTGTCACGGACTTGCCTCGAAGTTCGTGTTATTGACGGAGTCGACAAATTAGCCGTGTACCATGACGACATTGACAAATTAAACTCGATATCTTCTCTGCTGCACCTAAGACTTGTCGAATGAAATGCAATCGTAATAAAAGTTCGCCGTTTTCCGCGAAAGCGGCCGTCAATCTGACGCTTCGAAACGAGCTTCCCGATACTTTTTTACTTGTTCTTCCTGTTACAACCTTATTCTTCCTTTTCTTCCTCTTCGTTCCGGATAAACTGCTTCAAAGGACGCGACAAAACAGACCATTCTTCAATTCCGGTACCGCCTTCTTTAAGGAGATGTCGTTGAGTTTTCGGTAACGAGGACTCTGTTGAGAGAATTCAACAGTTCCTCATTCTCTCGGCGCACTGGAAGAGCAGATAAACATTTCGTTAATCACGGCTTCTTGCTTGTTTATACGTCTTAAGCTTGGTTTACATTCAGAGAGTAAATGGTGGGGTGGTTAAGACCGGTAGGAAAAATCCGTTTACGGTACGCGCGGAAACGACTTAGGCAAATGGTGGACGCGATATAGAAAGTAACAGAAATTAAATTTTAGTGTTAAAGTCTAAACACTCAAATATTTTGTTTAGAGACTGTAGGGCTGTTACAAAAATACGAATATTCGAATACTTCAATATTCAAATATTTTGTATCTGCAAATTTGTTGCAGATACAAAATATTTAAAACAGTTTACTGTGAAATTCAACCACATTTATCTTTGTATAATAGATATTCATTTCTTATTTTTTAAACTGTACCTGTCATTATGATATTTATTTTGCAAATTAATTTTTACTTAAATTCAAATTTCGTCCGCTTTGAGTAACAATGGAAATATATTTTTTTAAATTTACATAAACATTCTTTACACTGAATGTTGATATATACATTGTTTTTAAGAAATCAGCTTTTTCTAAAGTTACAAATCAAGTACACATCATTATGTGTAAAGTACACATCATCAATATTTTGTATTTTGTCAAATAAACTGCTTATTGTAGCCATGAAATTACACTTTGATAATAAAATTTATGGGTAACATTTACTAAAAGTTTATGGATAACTTTTACTCTTTTACTAAATAAAAATCACAAAATAAACTGATTTTTGATAAATCCTTATAAATTACATATAAATTGAACGTATCGTAAAAATCTGCTGCAAAAAATTGAGAAAAAATATTGTCAAAAAAGAATCCAATCCCAATGATCATGACAAACATTATTAAGGACATGTTCCTGAGTAACCTTTTCCTATAACTTAATCGTCTCTCACTGTTTAATAAAAAATTATTAACATTATGTGCAAAATTTGACAACGAAAAATTGGATGATTTCGCAAAGGGGTAAATAACGTGTTAATTTATAAATCAAGCTCAACAGATTTCAATCATTCTGTATTTCTGATTCTTTAACCTGAGAAATATGTTAACCTAACCTAATTTAATATGTTTTATAATATAATAATAAATGAACATCAGAGAACAAATACCATGAATTATAAAACATGGTACGTTGGGTCGGGTTAGTCCAAATTAATATATCACCAAATATGCTAACCTAACCTAGCTAGAACATGTTTTATAATTATAAATGAACATCAGAGAACAAATACCATGAATTTTAAAGCATGGTACGTTGGGTTGGGTTAGTCCAAATTAATATGTCACCAAATGTGCTAACCTAACCTAGCTAGAACATGTTTTATAATTATAAATGAACATCAGAGAACAAATACCATGAATTTTAAAACATGCTACGTTTGGTTAGGTTAGTCTAAATTATCGCCAAATATTTTTTCATTAATAACCTTAATAATAAGCGACAATTAGGTAATAAGGAAAAGTTATTTCGAACGACAGTCTCGATAACATATGCTACTGTCACTGGGACTCGGTCCTCTTCTATTATATAAAGTACATAACAAATTTTAATATTATTTGATGTTATATAACAAATATCTATAAAGATATTTACTAAATTTATTTTATTAAAATAATTTGAATAAAATGATTACATCGTGCACGATGTTCAGCAAGTTCCTTGGAGCCCATAGCAGGGCTCAAAAAGCTGCTGTGGGTCAAAGTAACGACCACCACAAGAACCGATGCTGCCAGTAGAAAAATAAATGTTCCCAGAACGATCATAGCAATTCTTCGATGACGTCTTGCCTGTTCCGTCTCCTCAGCATCTTCCACGACCTTTTGTGTCTCCTTTATTTCGATCCTCAAAGGTCGAACTGAATCCTTCCTACGTGACGTACTCGATCTCCGCGATTTTGATCTTCTATTTGTGCTACCTCTTCTACCATTGCCTGAACAGTTTTTTTTATCATTTACAGTATTTCGTTTGTTTTGTACATTTACAAAATTGTTTCGTTTGTTTGTTACATTTACTAACGTCAGGGTCGGTACGAATTGCGTGGAGTATTTGTGACACAGTTTTGCATGGAATTTTATATTTGGAAGTTCGGGAGTCATTTTGCTACTTTTTATTCTGATATTTTCACATAATCAAATTTTCTAACTCTTATATTTTTTAAGTATTAAATTTACAAATTTTTGACTTTTTAAATTTCACTAAACCTACCAATTCTTAAGACTTCCAAATTTTTTAACTGAAAAATGTTTAAGTTATTAAATCTCCTAATGTCCAAACTTCTAAAGCCAGTTTTAGAAGTTATCAAGTTTTCAAAATTTCCAAATTGCAACTCATAAATTCCAATTAACACGTCACTAAATTTTCATAGTACTAAGATATTAAATTCAAAAATTCGTAAACTTCAAAATTTCTACATCTCCAACTTCTCTAAGTACTAAATTATTAAATTATTAAATTCACAAATGTTCAAATTTTCAAATTAAAATTGTCTAAACTCGGTATTACCGAATTTTCAAACTCAAATTTTAGGATTTTTAAATCTTTGAATTCTCAAGTTTTCTATTACCATACTTTCAAATTCACAGGTTTACAAATTTCTAATTTTTTAAATGTCCAAATTTTTAAGTTCTTAAATTTCCAAATTTCCAAGCTTCCAAGTTGTCAACTTCTCAAATTTCCAAATCTTCAAATTTCCAAGCTTCCAAGTTTTCAACTTCTCAAATTCCCAAATCTTCAAATTTTCAAGCTTTCAAGTTTTCAACTTCTCAAATTCCCAAATTTTCAAATTTCCAAGCTTCCAAGTTGTCAACTTCCCAAATTCCTAAATCTTCGAATTTCCAAATTCCAAAGTTTCTAAATTTCCTAATTTGCAAATTCTCAAATTCTGAAGTTCCAAAATTCCTAAATTTAAAAATCACTAAATTCCAAAACCCACGTTCAAAATTTTCCAAATTTCTTAATGTCCAAATTCCAAAATTTCAAAACTCCACACTCAAAAGAGATTTACAGCCGACCCTGACAACCTCATATTCTTAGCGTTTGTTCAAAAGTTACATACCGTCGAATAACCCACAATTTATTTAATAAATAAATTTTGTTCTTAAGAAAAAACTAGTAAGGTGAAGTGGGGTAAGTGCAGACTGGTTTTTGTAAAGTTGGTATTTTAACGCAAGTATTTTCAGTCTGCTGTGTAAATACTTAACGCTGTCGAAATCGAACGGGTTGCACAATTACTACTATTTAATTAATATTAACTAGGACCTTAATTTTCCTTGTATATTTTGATTTTGATAGGAAATTGTTTAAAATGTCAACTACTCTGCACTTTCCCCAAAAATGGCGTAAGAGCGTAATTTGAAGTTAAATACTTTGAAACTTTATTTCATGTGCAATGGGACAAGAGCAGAATTATTAACAAATCTGCTATAAAATGCTTCTTACTGCATTATGCAAGTACTCTATACTGCAAACAAGTACTCTTAGCTGAAATATAAAAGGGGATATAGTGAAACGAAACAAGGAAACAAACATACTAAATGGAGAAATTTCGCTCATATTGTAATAAAAATAGCCTGTAAACGCACTTGCCCCGTTTACGAACTTACCCCACTTCACCTTACTCAATTTATATCAAAGACGGTCTCTTAATAATAAAAAAGAATATATCCCTGTTTCATATTAGACTAGAATAATCAATCTCATTTTCTTAAAATCCCGTAAATACTGTATATTGCCAAAAAATATTCCCTTCCTTTAATAATTAAGTTAATATTCATAAACAATTCAAATTTCTCAAACTCAATGACCGTTGCATAAATTCAGAGTACTTTAGTTCCGGACTAATAACCACAACAATCGACGTTTATACTTTTTAAACAATCAATCAATACTTCAATTCGCCTTTGATACAACTCGTAGAAAACAAACAAATCTTCGACGTTACTCTTATTGTAGTAGTAGTAGTCCCCGAACAGTATCAGCAGTAAAAGGTTGCATGTCAAAAAGGACCGAGCAGCGATAAATCAATCATATTTTCAAAAGAGTCCTCTCATGCATTCAAAGGATTTTGTCAGTAGATGCAATTAACCCCTGAACCCAAAATCGTTATTACGTCACGGAACGCGAAGCGGTAACAAACAATGTACGTGCGTTTCTGATCGATCGAAAAGTCTGATGACCCAATTGTCTCCTACCTAACGGCGTTGGCCTGCTGCAGCTGTTTGTTCTCGAACGGCTGGATTGTACGCTGGAACGACGGCTGTGACGTTGATCGTGTTCCGAATTGTTTCTGGTTTGTTTCGAGTTACCGGTTTTCGAGTGACCGGAAACATTACGGCGCGACTCGTCGTCGACGTTCGACGAATAAAGAGTCGAACGATCGTCCAATTGGAAACCGGCCGTGTCGGAATCCAAGGGATAAAACGCGGTACCGTCCTCTGTAGGATATAACGCATAACTATTGTTCGATCTCTGACAATGATCGGGAGATGCCTCGTGAGAGATCTCGAACGACGTGTCGTCCATATAGAAGATTATTCGTTCCGATGACGTGCCGGATAATCGGCGATTTGTGTCGTTCTCTTGTGCCGATTTCGGCCGACTCGACATAGCGAAGAATTGTCGGCCTCAGAAATGCTTTTGACGGATCTGTCGAGCGTTTTCAGAACTATTAGTGAAATCGTTCTGAAGTGTAGAGAAGTTTCCGAATTTCTGAAATCGGGAATTTAGGAAGTTGGAGATTTTGCAAGATTGCAATTTGAGGGTTGCACTATTTCAGAAATCGGGAATTCAGGAGGTTGGGATTCTGCAAGTTTGGAATTTGAGGGTTGGATTATTTTAGGAATCGGGAATTTAGGAAGCTTGGATTCTGCAAGTTTGGAATTAAAGGGGTTGGATTATTCCAGAAATCGGGAATTTAGGAAGTTGGGGATTTTGCAAGTTTGGAATTTGAGGGTTGGACTTTTTTAGGAATCGGGAATTTAGG